TGCGGAGCGGCGGACGAGTGGCAGAAGGCGGTCTCCCTGCTGGAAGAGATGCGCGCGGTGGGTCTGACGCCGGTGTCTAGCACGTACCTGCCCGCGATTGACGCGTGCTACCGGGCGGGCCAGGGCAAGGTCGGGTACGCACTGACGAAGCAGAGGGACGCGGCGCAGCGGAGAATGAGGCGGCACCCAGACTTCGCGTCGACAAGGAGGAGCCAGCAGCGCAAGTTGTTGCAGCCGTACGAGAAGTAGGTGGTCTGTGGAAATGTTTTTTATTTCTCGACACTGCAAGAGGGAATCCCGACTTGGTGTGGTTGCGGTGGAGGTCGCCTTTGGTGGAGCGCGGGGTCGCGTGTTGCTTTCGTGCGTGATGGATGGCAGACGCGGTGTGATTTTTTTTTTTGCTTATTCCGAGCTCTCGACTTAGGTTCCAGACAGGGGGGGGTACGGCGCGTGGGGTCTTCGGTGTGCCAGGTATGGGTTAGTACTTCGGGTGTGCGGGGCAGAACAGAGAGAAAGAGCGAGATTTAGGCGAGAGAGAAAGAGAGGGAGAGGGAGAGGCGAGATTTAGGCGAGAGAGAAAGAAATGGAGAGAGGAGAGCTTTACCAGCACCTACTGTAGATGCCGGGGGCAGCGTCTACTGTGTTCCTCGGGCGTGCGCGTGTGCCTCATGGGTGGTTAATGCGCGGCTGTCCCGTGCCAGGCACAACGAAAGTTGTCCAGATAATGACCCTTTAGCAAGCCTTTCCCACGAACATGGCCTGTAAAATAGATAATCCACCTACAGGCCGCCTCCCACCAAACGCGCAAGAAGCATGTTCTTTCATGTTTTTGCCTTGCCGTCCCGGCGCTGGGTAGTTGTGCTGGGTAAGTTGGATGCCGGATCAACAAACGACTGATGCTTGCCGGCGAGTGTCAGGATGAGGCCACAGGGAACACTTGGTTAACCATGACCGTTTCGATCCTGGGGCTTGGCTGTGCACAACACGTGGGAGTACGCGTGCCCCCTGGTCACCAGATTGAAATAAACCCGACGATGCAATTGGATCCTGGAAGAACTAACGGTTGGAAGCGAAACTACTGCTGTAGCTGCCGACCAAACGCTGCCTGCCATGTTCGTAGTAGTGGCGTGTTGTTCTGCCAGGTGTCCGTTGCTTGCGGGTATATGGGGTGTGTTGGAACAATGAATCCCCCTGGGTGTGCCGCATATCTAAAAAGAATGCCATCTAGGAGCGTGCATGAGTGCACAAGCGCGGCACGTCCGTTGTGGGCAATGATACTGGTCCTGCAGTAGATGCCTGCAATAGGAATCAACCAGGCAACCAGTACGTACGCGACGTAGACCATCGCAGCTATTGGCAATCCGAGCCGAAGTAGGGGCCTTCGGTTCGGGAAGGTACGCTCTCTCGTAGCTGTACACGAGCGTGCCCCTCCCGCAAACGAGGAATGACTCTGGGATAGCATACTTCGTGCTTCTTTTCCTTTTCGCCTCCAGGTCAAAGAAATCGACAAAAAAAAAAATGATTCCTGGTTTGCACTCCAAAAATTCCGACAGCCCTATGCTATGTGGCGGTGTATAGCTGACTACATGCCTTGTTCAAAATTGACCAATAAAACATCCACCTTCTGCGAGAATTCCGTCTTCTGACACAGACCCCCCCCTCTCACGGAGCCCCTCCGCTCCCACGACAGAAACCCAGCCCAAAGGGGGTGCGTGTCTGCCGGTCTGACGAGAATGGGATACTGTACAGCGGACTAGGCCTAGCACTAGACAACGAGGTGGGGAAAAGGGCAGAGACCCCCCCCGGGGGTTCCGCGGCCCCCCCCCCCCCCGCGCAATAATTTCACAAAGGCTTGCTTCCTCGAAAGCACCAAGACAAAGTCCGCTAGCACGACAAAATTTCCCATGCCCTCGAAGCGCCGGGTGGGGTGATGACGGACCGCGTTAAAAGTCGGCGCCCCTCACAAAAACGAGACGCCTGCTTGCGAAGAAACCACTTTCGTAGATGAGGGTGGGAGAACGAGGTGTGGGAGCAGGAGGTGTAAGCGTGTACACAACTCTCCGACCGCATCAACTATGACCAACCTCATACGTGACGCGCGAAGTACTTTCTACTCGAGAGCGGATTATTTTTCCATCGGAAAACAGCCAGCCTCGTCACTTCTCCGACGCCGGCCTACTCCACAAAACAAGTCACCTTCTCATCTGCCCCCCCCCCCCCCCCCCCCCCCCCCAGGGAAACCCCGGGGGGTTCCCCCCCCCTCTCCAAAAAAAAAAGCCACCACCCAAACCTTTTTTTGTTTTTTCCGGGCCCCCCCCCCCCTTTTTAAAAGCCCCCCCCCCCCCAAAAAAAAAGAAAATCCCCCCCCCCCAAACAGGCAGAAAAAAAAAATGGAAAAAGGTGGGTGGCTTAAAAAAACCCCCCCTACCCCCC